GGTTAGCAAAAAAATTTCTCTTTCAATTTGTTTTAATCCTTTAAATACGTCCTGTAAACGTATCATATACTCTAGCACATTTTAAAAATGTTTTCAAATTGTCGTTTCTCAAGCTAACTACAAGTCAAAGAAAAAAACGTTATGCCAGATAGAAATGGACTTATAAATGCACAAAAAACACAGCACACTACTATTTCTCAGATACTTAGCTCAAATTAAAGATTTTTATGCTGCCAAAATGAACTACCATCAATAAAATGACGCTCGATTTTCTATTCATTCCTCAGTCCAAACCAAACGCTGACGTAACACCAATTCCATGTTTCATACTATTGACTTTAATACAGTTGTAAATTAAAGCTATTCAGATACAATAATTATTTCGCTTGAAAATATTATACAGGGAGTGAATTCATTAATATAGGTGTAAAACGCGGACACTGTGGTAGAATTTAATTCCGTATTAGATTTGTTTATTTGATTTATAACACAATGATATAGTATTATTTACTTGATAACGTCTTGAGCATAAATTATTGCTCATAACCATACCAATGAAATCGCACAACTTTCGACATTTGATTTTTATAGTTATGTCACTTTATATGATTTGCTTTTTATTGGTAGTGAAATTTTCCATATCTCATTAGAGATATAGGTGTTGCGTCATTTCTATTACATATGTTGTGTGTTGATTCGATGAACAAAGATTCAGTAATCAATCTCTCCACCTAATTATATTGGATTTAAGTACAGTGGTTTTATCCAACTCTATTGTATGTTTGTGTGTTAATGCAAGCATAGCAATAGCCGAGTTTTTTTTTCTAGATTACTAATCTTATTCAGGTCTGTTTTTCTATATTGGGATAAATTCCTATGTTCGGCTATTCTAACTGACCCCGACCGACTAGTGTGACCTATGTACTTGACCTCACAGTCATTACATGGAATTTGATAGGTTGTATTATTTTGCTTAATTGGTTCTATCGGATCCTTAAGCCGACAAAGTTTATCTCTGAGTGAGTTTGTAGGTTTAAATGCCACCCCAATTCCAGCTCTGTTGAGGATTCTACGTAAAGTTGAAGTATTTTACATCCTGGGAATTCCATACTGTATCAGACATGTTTGAAATACAGCAATTATTATGATGATCATTATTAAGGTATTTTGGATAGTGTAATTGTTACACATTACAGTCTTGCTTTAATTAAACATTAGGTTAATAGATACGTTTAGTACTCTCAAAATAACTAGACTTCTACTTTTAACTATTTCAGTAGACTAATCTTAATAAAAAAGTTCATCATCAAGTGCATTCAGTCCCGACTAAGAAACTGGCTCTTAGTCAAAGGACGTTGTCCACTGCATGAAAAAAGCTATCCTACTTTGTTACTAACAGAGACTATCATCTCTTATAATATTATTTATTTTTGTTTAACTTTCTTTATGAATAACTTCCCTTGTTGCGGTAAAACCAACTATTATATTATTCATCATAAGTCGACATCAGCTAGATAGGTATTGAATGTCGGGAAGTATTGGACAATTACTTTGTATACATTTTAAGCTTCTCAGCACTGTGTACTCATACGTGCTTTTTTTAGGTTGCATTCCAAACCCTCAGATCTCTCTGAAACTACATCGAAACTCGATAAATCATGTTTCCAAATAGCCAATTTGCAAACGTATGAGTGTAATCCAAAATCATTGGTCAGTATCTTTTCATGTGATCTGTTGACTTCACAGTTCACGACCTCCAGTCACAACCTAGTGAAATTAATCTGAAGGGAAATTACTAATAAGCAATGGATTATTGTGTTTGGCCGGGTTGTGCAGAAAATAACTACCTCAAAACTTGAAGATCCTGAGTATGATACCTCAGTGGATCAGTAGTATACAGTGCTGTATAGTGGCAAAATTAGTATGAAATTAATGCCATATGAGTTCTGATTTTCACTGATGGACTGGTCGCAGTTAATCAATGAATTCTTTGAGATTAGTTAACACATCAGCATTCTGCTTAGCACACAATATACATGAAAAGAGAAGAGATATGTTGGGAACAATTCTTGACTCTTCGGTAGCTTGGTAAATGACAAAGCAAGGGTTATCATTAACTCTTAAAATCAAATCTCACCAAACATCTGACGACCATGTGATTTTAGCTAACTCCGTTGGCGATACTAAATAAACAACCTGACCGTACTGTCCAAAAGCAAATGATCGAGTTACACATTCTGTATACGGTAGATAATCGACATCCATTAACAAGCGTAAACTCGGTAGTGAAAAGGCAACAAAATGTCCATTAGCAAGATAACAGGCTAGGAAACTAGCTGTTCCTGACGCTCCACTATTATGTGATAGTCGAAAACGTTGTAGAGAAGCATGTACCACTTGACTTGTTTCAGTTATCTTGACCTGAAAAAAGAATTTGAAACAGAATTCGTGTATATTTTATGCTACGAATGGACATAATTCAAGTGGTTAATTTTATGTTAAATTCAGGTAAATTACTTATAACATATAGAAATCAAGATGATTTGTTTGCGAAACAGAAAAAAGCCTACCTTGTATAGACAAGTTTGTGAAGGAAGTGCAACCACACGAGCTTGCTTTTCAGAACACAATACAATAAGCTGTCGGTCAGATTCAGTGAAACCCTTAGTTCCTGTCGGCGAGTCAAGTCCAGTCGTGGCATTTGACTGTATTGCACTACCGGTAGTATTGGATACAACAGTACCTACAATATAGATATTAAAGGTAGGATAATGTTTCAAAGAAACATTTCAAATTTTATAAAAAGCAACGAAAATAATAAACACACTGTAAATTCAAAGAAGAGCACTTTGTATTAGCCAGGGCAAATTGATTAGATATAATAATTGGCTTTAACCTCTACATCGAAAATTAATATCGACTGGTGTCCAGATTTTTACTTCTCTTCAATCACCAAGGGTTCTGCCCAACTACCATTTCCCCTTCAATCACCAACCAGTATAAATACTAGTCTGTTACACGACGGCTATCTCAGATAGAATGATAATATATAACCCCTAAACTATATAATATATTGATACGGATATGATGATTGAAGTTGGAATGAAATTCTAGGCAGCGCAGGGTTCGAACCATAGACCTCAGGGTTGCTAATCTAGATCAGTGATCTGCCAACTGAGCAATGAGACTTAATTGCATACCAGATCCTAATTTCACTTTAATCACCAAAGGTCTGATAGGTCAATCGGCAGAGCGTTGAGCCAGTAGCCTGTGGGCCGCTGGTTCATGTATTGACACGATCCAGACTTTCCTTCCACCTGTAATCATCATTCGGTATCAATACAGATCTCTCATACTACGGCTATATGATTCTGATATATATCTGTATGAAATTCTGATGGTGCTCAGAATATAATGAAATACTATTTAACACCTTAATTCAATAACAACTAACAGATAAATGAATGTACTGACGTCATGCAATTGGAACATTAATTTTACTTCAATGAAAAAAGGCGTACGATGTTTTGCACTGTGTAGATATATCTCTTACAACCTCAATTAGTAAAAGTGAATATATTTAAAAATCGACTGTTAAAAATTCTCCTTGTTAGCCCTGAAACAACAGCATAGATTTGAGTATCAGCAAAATAAATTTGATTTCTCAAACTGAAGATTAAAACAAAATGCAAAATCTATAAACGATCTATGAATTAGCCACCTAGTTTTCAACAAAAAATTAACTTGTCTTTATGACCAAATAAATGTGGTAATCAAATGATAGAAAATATGGAATATAAAAAATGAGTACAACAATAAGTTATGCGAATACAATTTAACTTACTAGAGTGACCAGAAGACGATGTAGAAGATGTGTGAGTGGTGACGGTGTTTTGACGAGTAATCGATTCTTTCATTGCTCGAGTAATACCACTTCCTCCTACACCACCACCTGATTTGAAACCAGGATCACTTGATCCGTATAAATCAGCAGGAGTGTGCAAAGACGTGGCACCTCCAGAACACACAGATGAGCATGACAAAAGAGACGCTTGCTTGGAGAGTTCAGAAGTAGTACCACCTTTGGAAACAGATGAATCATCCCAACGCTCTGAAGGATTTGGTATAAGATCACCGGTAATATCTAACATGCCAATATGAATTATATCCCCACGTAAACGATACAAGGAAGCTGAAAGATTATTTGAAACGAAGCTCTATGTAGCGATCAGATTTTCAGTATGCATGACAATCAAAAATTCAAATAACAGGAAAAACGAAAAACTTGAATAGTGTTGTAATAGGCTATACCTACGAATATATTTTCACATCGTATAAAAATAATCAAAAGTAGGATACCAGTTTGATTAAAGTTAAGCGAGCTAAACAGTCTGTACAAAAGTTTAGAAACAACTCTTTCTTCACTCATTAAAAATTGTTTGAACGGCACAAGAGACAGTCAAAAAAAATTTTTTTTTAACGAGTTGTAGGAGTTGTGAATTTATGCTGGAAGGATTACAACAAGCTCTTGGTGACAAATGGACAATAAGCTGAAGAACTGTATCCGTACATGGAGTTCCTCACAATCCCTAATTCCTTTTTTCCATCTTGAAAGTGTATTCCCCTCAGAAGCGATTTATTTTACACTGTACAATTCCCCTTCAAATCTATAGAAACTGATGAGAATTTATTGAAAAGAATATTCTTCGTTCAGATTGTTTTTAATGAATTCAAAAACATCAGTTTCATTTTTGTGTGTGTAGAAATAACCTAACCATCCAAGAGAAAAATCAGGAAATAAAAGGTAATTAGTTTATGCAAAAAATTACAAATAGAAAGACGTATATATTTAAACGCTTAAACCATCGGTTTCTATATATCTTTTCTCACTCAAATAATGCGCTTCTGAAAGGATTTCTTAGACAGAGACTAATTCGATAACCATCTAGCACTTCAATGATATACATCGTGGTAATTTTGCTCGCAATGACAGCTGTATAGAGGGTCCGTGGCCTAAGAATAAACGCCACAAACTGAATCCTTATAGCTTCGTCTGAAACTCTCTGGCGAATAATCAATCCTCTGATTTGCCGTAGAGACAATGAAGAAAGTAAAAGTATCTCGAGCTCAGTTTTTGACACACTCCAATCACTATCGGCGCTTCCAGGAAGTAAAGAACTTGGAAAGGTATACGTCATTAGCTGTAGAGGATAGTAGTTGGTAGAATTCTAAACTGAAAGGATGAGTTAGTCAATTTTTTTCTAAAAACAATAGTAGACCGTGATGATGAGCACAAAACTTTGAGTAGCAGGTTAACTGAGTTATGGTATCCCCAAACTTCCTTTCCATTCAAAAAGTTTGATTAGTATACTGGAAGTGGCTGATAAAATTGTGAAGAAACTAAGTTGTCAATGACTTTGACAAATCAAAAAATGTTCTACTGTGAGACTACATTTCAGTACAGATTTCTCGCTACAAACCCAACCAGAGTTACAATTCCGATTAACTTGGTAGCAGAATGGTTGTGGTAAACCACGATTCATCTAATCATTTCAGTAATTCTAGATAAGAGACAATTCAGCCAGAATGTCCCGTTTCTACAATATTTTGTTCAAGATTGTCTGAAACGAATCAGGAATATGATTACAGATTAGACTGGATGAATAGTAAGACCGACCACATCCAAAGTAATGAGGTTGATGCAATTTGTGACCAGGTGTTGGATATAATAGCAAAATTCCATAAATTCCAGCTCTGGAAGCATTTCGCGTGCACACAGTGGTGCAAGGAGAATGTGAGTGAAACCCTTTCTCCTAGGGTAATCAATCAATCAAATCCTATTGAATGATGGGCTGCTAACCACTCTCTGTAAAGTCTGAAATGAACAACAGGTAAGCATATAACCAATCACAGAAGAAAAAGATTGGATTCTGAAACTATTTGGAAGCACAACTTGGCTGGTGACAAAGTAACTCATATTTACCACTTTTAAAAAGAGTTATTAGGCAAACTCGTTGATATTTTCGAATTCGTGGAGCCATAAGGGCCTAGAGTAGAACACCATTAAGCATTAGTGATTAGTATCTGACTTTTCAAAGCTTCAATAGAATATGCTGTAATCTATGAAACTGAATAGATTAGAAATCAAAGATGGCTATGCAACTAGAATGCAAGTAAGGAAATAATAACCAGTGGATTTCAACAAAACAGTAGCAAATCTTAGACCGAATAATTCGACTCAGCACCGACATAGAAAATGAACTCGTCATACAAAAAATGGCAATTGTGACTTAGTGGAACTTGAAGCGATCAGTCGCGGGTTAGAGTCTTAGTGAGAACAATATCGTTCACTGAAAGCAGGTACATCCAGCTGATGAGTCTCAAACAGGACGTAATCCACCTCCTGGATTCCACTGCTGACTACTATCCAACGTTGCTATAAAGTAGTAGCAAATTCGTTATGAAACTCAGTTGTACAACGGTCGATGAATCAAAATAAGATCGAATGGCTGGTCAGCATTTCTTGACTGTCATTAGTTCTTTTTCTACATACTTCAGCTGGTGATGAAAATTATCTCACCCGATAAATAATTCAATCCCAGTCAGATTAATAAATAACTATGCATAGATTTTCTCAAACGAATCAACAAACAAGGTGAAACTAATATATGCTCTAAATTATCCTATTGCCAATAATACAAAAGCTTTTCTTAGAAAAAAGAAAAGAAAAGAAACAAACTAAAGAAACACTAAAATTCAATATTCTATTCATATGATAAGAACTAGTATATATGTTACATGAATATTAGTCGATAATTTCCAGGGTATATACCCTATCATCAGACTTTTTCAATGAAATAACAAAACGCTTATGCATAAATAAAAAACAAGAAAGAGCATCAATAAATTAGTGATAGAAAGCATAGAACCGTCAGTTTCTCTAATGTGCATATATATGAATATACGTGTGCATGCTGTAGACAAAAATGGTTAGGAAATTGATTGTCAAAATTGTGTGCTTATTTAGCACGAGATAGGATTAATCAAATACGACTAACTGACAGTTATTTTAAGAGTAATAAACTTGCTATTTCCAAATACATATACATACAAGATTGTATGCATATAATTTTTAAAATGTCAGATAATTGTTTGACATAAAATCAATAGTAAAGTTCATTACTCAGATAGTATATGAAGTGAGATGAATATTAGTCTCTCTTTCTCTCTGTTACTCGAGTAACTCTCTAATCCAATCTCTCCCATTCATCTTCATCTGGTGACGTAAATGATGAAAGCTTTTACTGAATGAAAAAAGTTAATTCTAAAATATTAATCAATTCGATAAAAAAATTATTTTTTGAGTATTTATCTACAGAGCAAAAACGTCATACACGTGAAAGCTTATATGTTACAATGACATATTAAAATAGGATACCACTAAAGCTAAGGAATGCAGTGCTACAGAAACTCTTTATATAATAAAGCCTACTCAAGGTAAAAAGTAACCATTAGGTGGTTTGATCAAGGCAAATTGATACACAGAACAGCTACAAAGAGATGATTTAAAATATTAGCAGTTGGTATTTCTTTCTGAACAGTGGCTTTACGATTCCATTTCAAAGGAATAGTTGTCTAATCTTAGAAACCTACTTACGTTTTATTCTCCTGCAAATAATGTACAACACAAAAACAAAACAATGAAATTCACCACACTGAAGAACTGATTATTTTTAATGTTCAGCAGATACTGATACGTGCATAAAATGGTCACAGGACGGAAACTGATATAACTACTTAGTGCCAAGAACTCCGTATAAAGCAATGTCTATCGATCACTTTCAGAATATGACCACCGAATTAAGGGATATGACACTAGTGCATTGAATCCAGTGCAACACACTAGGGAAAAATTAATAAGTAATCGCATACCTAATTTTAAAAAGTTCCGGATTATACAACTCACCTGATTTTTTACTACAGGCTCCGGAACGATCGTAGGTTTTCGCGCATTGCGTCTTCAAAAGAATGACATAACTACCAGGCACCCCCCGTCAGTGAGACAGACAGCTGTAACACCTCTTGATACATGGAGTGGAATACTTCATTCAGATCAAGAAATATGGCTGTTTTCGGGCGCAGAAACGCATGTCTGTATTGAGTAACCGGTCTGAGAATTAGGTATCCTTGATCTCCCCACCCCGAGGTGCAAAATATGCCTTGTTTTCGTGAGTTTGTTGTTCGTAAACTTCACTTACGCATTGGATGTATACATATGGTGAACTCTTAGAAACTACTTCCACTAACCTGTTTCCCTGGTAGTTATCCCATGAGACGTTTTCTCTGTTCTTGAAAACTGAGGAAAACTGAGACAATCAGTGGTCGATATCTGTCAGAGGGCATCATATATATTCTTCATATGCTAGCTAATATTTCAGCTAATCTAGTGAAAATCTTTCAATCACCATTTTCAAACACATCTGGTGCAAACCCATCTGCCTCTCACTGTTTCATGTTACTCACAGCCTTCCCAAACTTGTTAGGAAATGAAAGGCTTATTTAACAGTCGCATTCAAGAGATAAAATAAGAAATTGGTTGAAATGTGCCGCTGATCGTTTCATTCATCTCCTGCAAGTTAATAGCAGACCCATCCTTAACCGCCATGGTTTAACTAACCACATGCCTTTTTTCCCTTTAAAGTCTGACAGTTGTATTTTTCCTATGTTCATTTAGCACATACATATGCGAACTCAAAATAATGCAAGACCAATGCCCAAACGCGCACTCCACAACAAACGGGCACCTTCCACACAAGGTATCCTGCACTAACTGGGTTGAATTAAAGCCAATGGACGCCACGTTACATACTGTTTCGCTTTCTGTGTAGGGTACAAATGACTGGAAGTAGATGGCTGTCTGAGTACAGCTGCTTTAAACCATTACCGTCATCCACTCGTTTGACAGGCATTCTAAAAGTGTCACCAGAGTGCCTTTCTTTCGGACACCCTACCCACTGGTGCGTCGATATCACCTGCTGAGACAACCACATCCGAATGTTTGACATGTTTTGGGAGAAGTCATCTCTCGCTTCATCCAAACTCCAGTCAGTGGGTGCGTAAGCAGATTACAAAGTGACAGTTGTGAATTTCACCATTCTTTGAGTCCTCACTGCATCGTTCAGTCAAACAGTTCACAGGCGATCGACAGCTAGGATCCAGTTGACCAGTGCTCTCTCTGCCTTACCACTTCACACTATATCTTATCTACATCTGCAAGATGACATCAACCAGTCATCGCATCTGTAGAAACTAGAGGGGTGTATTTTGCAGATTCCCCGAGTTGGTTGAGTGGGGTCACTTGAATAACCACACTTGAATTCTCTATGCGTGTCGCATAAACCCAGCACATATTCATAAACAGAGATGCTGCAGTTCTGGCTAGTGAAGCTTGGTAGCCGATTTGATAGTGGGTGTCGATACTAGAAGCTCTGATATATAGTTTGAAGAGTGATTTCAGGAGACCAGTGATACTGTTGCATGAAATAGAGATATGTTTAAAGATCTCGAGGATGAAAAGGAATCAAAGATGACTTACAACCATGGATAGAGGGGATGTTAAGAAAGACGAGAATACAAAGATGTTTGAGGTTGAAAGTGACCTGAGAGATGAGAGGGATGAAAGAATTATGAAAACAGCTTCCTGTTTGCAGCTTCCTGAATGTAAGACTGGTTTACGCACCAACGTTTCAAGATAGCTGGTTAGCCTAACACCAAACCCCAGAACTTCATTCTGGTTAACTTTTAAACTTTTAACCATGACTGAAACATGTATGTTGGTACAACAATATATGTTTCAGTAATAAAGATGTGTAGAAAAACAGGTATCCGCCGCTTATTCACCTAAAATAAAAAGTATCATTCACCACTATATGAGAATAATTAGAGCTTCAAACAGCATACTTTTCTCAAAATTCTATTTTAGGTAGAAGGTAAAGCACTCAAACTTTTTAACTGTTGAAAATCATTGGATTTACATCAGTTTTACATGATATTAGAAGGCACTAGTAACCAGTAGTTATTCATGCATGATAATTTCAAAGAAGGTCACAACTATCTATATACTAGACATTCATAAGTGTAACTGGTTAACTAAACCAAATTCGTATACATTTTGAAAGTGTGATCCTTTACATTTACTCTACTGACCACTTAGATTTTGCTTCTTAGATAATTGCAGTGACTTGAAATCAGGTATCTTAAACTGAAACTTTCCCATAGTCGGAAACTCGGAGTAAACGCCGATCGTTTTCTTGACGAGTATGAGTTTTGGGTCAGCTTTTTTCACTGGAGTTCACTTATTGTTCAGCGGGTGAGTATAATAAACAGAATCTATAGACTTTTCTGCAAGATTGTGAGTTATTTTCTGCAGATCTATAAAGAGTTGTCAAGATCAGCCACTTTACTATATGTATTCCTCATTAACGCACTCATTTCAAATATAAAAATATTTTAAGAAACTTATTCAACGAACATACTGAAGTTGAAGGAAATGTAGTGTTCAGTTCCATACTAGAAAGTAAAGTAAAAAGTGTATGAATTGTTACTCAATAGATCAAATTAACTATGACTTTTGTTTTAGAAAAACCGACATCATGAGATATTCCCAAAAAATACATGCAACTAGTTTGAAGTAAATGAACTCTTTTGAATACAAGATAATTTACTGGAGTCGAAGAAATAATACATAATTTCAAAGTAATAGAGGATATTAAAATAATCAATGGGCTAAAAAATTGATCATAGAAGCAAAACAAATATGGGATAGATTGAAATTAGAAGCAGAAACTATAGAACGGTAGGAGAACAATTGAATTCAAACTAACAGAAAGAGATGACCTATTTATAAATCTTCATCATACTTTATTAGCGAAAAGTTGAGAGATACTTACCAACATTATACGATTGACCCATAGGAGCATTATTTGAAGTTCGATACTTTAGATTTAACGCAACAACACATCCACGGGAGGTTCCGATCCAGATATTTGGTCCATAATACAAATCTAAAATCAATAACAAAATGACATAAGATTATAGTTATATATGCATGCATTGGTTATGACAGAGATGTTGCAAAATGGAGATGAGCTGATATATGTCTACCATAAAAAGATGACCTCGAAACTTACAAAGAAGTGGTCTGTTATAATACATCATGAGCACCAAAAGATGCGCCACAAAACATTACAGTTTATAGCGATACATGGAACGGAAAAAAGAGTGCTAACAAAAATAGAAGTGTTATAAACATCAAGATCATAGCTGATACGAATCTTCTGGAAAAAGTTGAGCGCCAAGTTCGATTTAATGCTTATACGAATATATTTCAATATAATTCCAGAGTGTTTGGAAAATCAAGCAAGATATTTCTGAAAGTTTGGCTTTGTATGCTGTTAAAACGCTATGACTTATAAAGCGAAACGTTCAGAGATATCTTGTTTCGATTTCCTAAACATCAAGGGATTATATTAGAATATATTCTTATAAAGAGAGGAGTGAGTTAATAATAAAGTAATCTAAAAGATACTTTCACAGAAGCATTAAATACTATCTTCACAACTCCCTATTAAACACTCGTGAGTGCGTTAGAATCTAAAGTGAGATATCAGGTGAGTTACACACTTTGAGTAGCATCCATCACCGATATCGACTCCGTTCAACGTTATTTTATTGATGTAGGTCTTCCTCTTCTCGTCCTTTGACTTTAAATAGATTGACCTTGTTACAACAGACTTCTTAGTAGATCTAGAGTACACAGATCACACAGTCATGTCAAGTGAACACGCTGACAAAATGAAGAGTCTTCCGGACTGGGTGAGTGAGAATTTGACAACATTTGGGATCCGGTTCTTACCATCGGAATGCGCGAATCTTCACTTCAGGACTGGTCCATGTTAATTCCTCGTGAGAGAGTAGGGAGTGAATGGTTGGGTCCATTGACCACTTCACTCACTCGGGTGGTTGGATCTGCACTAGTGAGTCATAGTGACCGACGAAATCTCAACACTGATACATGAGGCTGGCTTGACCATTGCGGAGTTAATCCATCTCTGGCGTCGACGAGATATTCGAGTCCCATTAAGCGGTGAGTATAATGTGTAGTAATCCTCTGCTCACCACTACACGGCTATGTAACTTGAAGAATAAAATTGGAGAAAATGGGCAGGCTTCAAGTGTTCGACCACTTTTGCTTTAATGGAATAGCTCATGCAACCACAAAGTTAGTAGCACATTAGTCAAGCGTAGATGAGTAGTCAGTTGATGGTGCTGTCAACGCTGATCGACTCAAATACATGGAGCATGTGTTGCGTATGCCTAATCACAGTTGTCCCTGTCATAAAATGTTAGCTGAAGTAGGTTGAGGTTGGAAAGAGGTTAGAATCGACCAGACTGACTCAATTTATCACCCAGATGATCTGTGAATTTTCGTATGAGTCATGTAGAGAAATGTAGACTTGTTGGTGGAGGTGCATGCGGCACCTCGGCGGTTGCAGGCTGTATATGGTATGGGCGAGAGTCAATATCAGTGTTGTAGATGTGTCTTTATAAACAATATTTTCATCCGAAGAGTGATATTGCACCATGCGATAGTTTACCACTTGCTTTTTCTACCTACGAATCTCATGTACTTGCTTTATTCTTTATCTATTGTCTGTCTGTCATCCTGACACCTTCTACCTCTATGTGCGGATTTGAACTGTGATAACTTTGAGTGCTATGCAAATACGTTCTGGAGTTAACTGGGAAACAAACATAGTGAAGCACACGGAATGTGACGAAGTAGTGCAACCAGAAAAGTTAGTCAAAATCTATAGTTTTATTCACGAAAGCTAAAATCACATTTGATTTAAAGCAACAGAAATAATATTAGCTTTTCCATATGAGTTGACCTTTTAATAACAATGTTTTTTGAACCAAATTAATTTATTCTCTCATAGATTTAGTCACTTGGAGACGGAGGGACAGAGAGAGAGAGAGAGAGAGAGAGAGAAAGAGAGACAGAAGACAAAATGATAACTGAGATATTGAGCGTTATTTCTTCAATGATAATACTTTGTGTATTAGATACAGTATTGTGTGTTCTATTTGTCTAGAAGAAAAAGATGGATACGCATTAAAAAGAGCAGTCACAGTCACCATAAATGTAACCATTATCAGATGCGAAAGAGAGGGAGGGGGATGAGAAAGGGTATAAATATTGAAGGGGAAATAATTAAGGACAGTTAAGATGTATATTATTACCTCGTGTTTGTAGCAGGGGTTGCTGATTTGTTGTCCATATTGAAATGATACTGAAATCTTTATATTTCTGTGTTTTTGATGTGACTTTTCGAGGAATATTTAATTGCCACAAACGAGGGTAAGACGAAGAAGTGAAAGTGGTAGACGGTTATTATGTTCCGATTCTTTTAAAGCCTTAACAGCTAACGCGCTCGACTGTTTCCAAGGTGTAGACTAAATTTTGTGATAACCGTATCGTACACACCAATCTTAAATGTTACCATCCACTCATTTTATGAGCAAGAGTTATTTCCAAACATTGTATCTCGAGAATGATATGCAACTGATCGGTAAGTTTAGATTAGACTAATTTAGTGACAATAATCGTGGCAATATAACAATCTGTTGGGGAAAGCCATAGAGCTTTTGCAATATCGAATATTCACTTCATAAGTGATAAGGTTACTAGGAGATTTCCCAATCACTCTAAAAATCAAGCGTAATAAGACCATATGTCTTAATGAGCAGACGATAGTTCAACCACCGGGGCTAACTCATGTTTCGTAAAATCTACCTATTCAACAAAATAATCTACATGCGTGTATAAAATGCAACATGCTGTATTCTGGCTATCAGCAAATAACACTATAGACATTCATAATTGGAACTGAAATTGAAAACAAAATGAAACATACCTTGTTTCGGGGATGACCATTCGGTGAACACAATTGTCTTGATTGTTTCACAATTAAGATTATCCAAAGAGTTAGTGCTAGTACTCAGACTAGCCGGATGAGAAAACTGCGCAAGGTCGTAGCATTTCTCTATAACACACACACACACACACAAATATAGACAAACAAACGAAGAAATAGAAGTAAAAAAGGTAATAAGCTTTACAGTTCACCCTGTCGATGATGGTAAATAAAAATAGTAATATCATGCACTTCCCATTAATGCTAAATAAGGTTAGCCACCGACACTAATGGGTATCACCAAAAATGAAGTACATTTGTTAAATATTTCGGTTAACACCAGGATTACTGACATAGAAATGATTATATATAGGAGTAGTAGAATGCATGTATTATATGCTAAAAGTGGTATTTGGATCATTTCTAAGCATATATTTTCAACTAACGGGTGCATATCTTCTTTAAAAAAAACAACTATCTCATTTGGCAAAAATAAAAACAAAAGAAGAGAAATACACATGCTCTTGAAACACAAAAATAGTCAATGGTACGGTTATATCTACTCGTATACGCATCATACACCGGTTATTATATAAAATATGACTCTATAAGGAAATGTAAAATGCTTACAATATTTTCAAAAAAAAGCTGGTTTAAATTCATTATGTGAGTTTTGAATCGTGCTAGATTTTGAAATATACAGTCTAGAAAATGTTAGGAAATGCAAACACATACACAAGTACATATAAACCTAAAACATACAAGTCAGATACTGTCAGCAAACATAACTACTTTAAGAGGATATTGCAAGATAGACTGAGTAATGGAAGGAAACAACGTGAAATTTATCACAACGAGTATTAATCTAAGTTGCCGCATTTAGAAAAATTATAGCCAGAAAGAACTGATAAGCTAAAAGAATATTTAAATGAACTAGAATAAAGACAATAGGAGGAAAGAAATATATGGTTACTGGGTAGTGTTATTCTTTGCTTCTGATAAAAAAAAACCTGGATGAGCTCCTGTTAGTAATATTGAAGTTCAGTCATGTAACGTGAAAACATCCCGTTAGGTAGTCAGATCAGTCGGAAAACTACATATAATCTGAACTAAAAATCAATTTTATCGACTGCTACTACTGTTACCATTGTATGTCAGGGGAGATATGAATCTTAGTGATCGACTTTCCTGAGATGTCAAACAAGGTAGGTTCCTTTTCTTATTGACCTTTTCACTTTTGCTTACCTACGAACCTTGATACTCTAACACATTAAAAAACCCTGTCATAAGTATCGTTGACCTAAGTGTTCGATCTACTGGCTCATAAATGTAGTATGCTCGCCATACAACACGAAGATATTGAATATCATTCGAGTGGATGTACAGGTAACCAGCTAACAGTTCATCCTTACGCTAAAACCTACTCTAGCAATGATTATCTTATTGTATTACGAAAGTTGTCTTCAAACCTTATCATTCTCCTTTCATTATTTTTCTTCTCAATGAATTTCTTCATGTCGGATAACCATTTCTCAAAATCCCGAGATAATCCCAAATCTTCAGCTGATACTTCTAGTCTACCAGCTGAAACATTGAATAGAACATGACAGTGTAAAACTGTTGTTGACAGCGTTCAAACTGAAGTATGTAGAATTGCTGATTTCTGTCAAAAGTGATTCTTGTATCACCTGAACAAGGTATCTTTTTGTCTACATCAATAGGCATAATAGTCCATTTTTCCAACTATGCTGTTATCGAAAAGTATACGTTTTTCTGCTATTCTAGATAATCTCATCGTGACTATTTTCGTGTTTTCAAGTCTATAATATACAGTTTCCAGCTATAAGTTTGAACATGTCCTGACCAACAATGAACTGGATAGTTTTGAAAAACTTGGGCGCCCAGTCAGTATGATTCATAGTACATTAGCCAAAATATGTTTATTTTGTTACTTGTTGTAAGATACACAAGTGAAATATACCATATACAATTATTCATAATACGCTTGAGCATGAATGATCATAATTTGATATAGGAGTGAGTAACTGTTTAATCTTATTCCAATGGTGATCGGCAATGCATGAAGATGATTACAGTTAGCTTTAAAAATGTGATGAGTAAACTTCAAAATGAAATTTAAGTAAAACGCAACGCCATGTCTTGCTCAGAGATCCGACAACCAAAGTACGAAAAACTAACCCAGTGACTGAATTAGTCTTTCAGTATTATAAGGTAAAAACAGACAGATACAAAAACAGAAGAAAGACCACTGCATATTTAATTTGATCATATTTATTTTCTTGTGAAGAGGAAACATTTGGTTTGATGGAAAAATCTGACCAATTAGGTGTAAAACTAATAATAATGAATCCTATGAAGATATCGCAAAAGATATCGAGCAAATAATAAACTAACGTAAGGTTTTATAATGGTTTTTTTCTCAGTGAAATTCCAGCTTCTGGCTTAGATATCTGCTGGTAAAGAATAATGTATATAACCAACATAGCATTATTCTCTATGAATTTGGCTTCGTTTCTTCAAGTAATTTAGGCGACAATCAGTTACAGACAAAGGAAGTTATAACCAAAAACTAAAATGAAATTAACTATGTAATTGATTCTATCAGTCATTCAAGCATGGTTAACACAAATGCGCATACAGGTTAGTTGTAATTAAGTACGATGGTCATGCAGTCTAAAACACGAAAGGTGATTTAGGTTAGAGATAAATAACTAATAATCTCTAACCCTATCTCACTCGGTCTTTCATACACACACACACACACACACAAATACAAACGCACCTCAATCTAAAATCCGAGCACATGTAAATACCAAATAGCGAAGTGGGGAAAAAAGTTTACACATAGAAGGCTAAATCATAACAATTAGTGATATATCAAAGTTATTATACCATCACTTGACTGTACGATGAACAGACAAGTTCAAAGCAATCTCTGTACGAGAGATATTTCCGAGGAGTCAAAAGCTATATTTATGAAAATGAGTATAACACAGCCAGAACCAAGTAAACCAAAGTAAAAATTTGACAACCTGAAGAAGGGTTTTGTGCATAAGGCGTCTGGCCTTGTTGACGAAGTGGTTGATTAGCTCGACAGGCCAGAACCACTAATAGAAATGAATGGACATACAACACATTTAAATTAATAATATTGTTCATGGTTAGACTCTAAGCAGTTAAACGTTTTTGTGTTGCAAACAGTTATTGTACAGCAGAATTATTAGAGTTATAATCATGTAAAAATAAACTTCTACAAATTCTGTTTTTTTTTGTAGTCACAGGATTTATTCATAATGAACAGATGATTCTACTATATTATTATTACTATTTGGATCCACTGGTGATTGAATTTTCGGTCAAATCATACACTAATATGAATATTAATAATGGGGGAATGAATTAAACTGGAAGAGGAACTAAAAGAGAAGGTTAATTAGTTTGAACTACTCTCAGATTTACATTTCTTACGTTCATTTTTCTTCTCTTAAGTGGGGTCTACAATCTTAAACCACTAAAGAAAGTAAAGAAAGAAGGATAACCTATTGTCTTAAAGCTGATGTTTCGCTTCAATATTCCTTCATCATGAACGGCGCCCTGAATTTATGCGTTCCCATGTATAGCCTTGTTGAGAATTTTTAATAATCTCACTCAGTTATCAACCGAAACCAAACCTGTCTTCTATTACAGACAAGTTGATTAGCAAAGTAAACAATCAATGATGAGAACATTTATATCATCATCTACTTCACTCCTACTTATTATTAGTATGCCTTATTCTATACACGTGTTAAATAGTTCAGAGATGAATAATACATCATATATTTGGTGAAATTAAAAAAAACAATTAACGTAATATAACTGAATTATTCAAGCAATAAGAATATTTATATTTGCCTCTGCAGGTATAAATGCATGAAGCAAAATAACAAGAGGAAAGTCAATACGATTTCGATGAGTGCGGAAATTTTAGAAAAATGCCGACAAGGAATAAATAATATTGAGAAAGTTTTATTATTATTATTATTATTATTATTATTATTATTATTATTGTATACAATTAATGACCAACCAACCGACCTTGCGACTTGGCCCGCTTTAATTCTCCCTTGACAGCTGTTGTTCTTGTCAATACATGACGTGATGCATACACGCTTGGGGTAGACGATTCACTGGACTGCATAGCGTCTGAAATTGAGTGAATATTTTTCAAAGCTGCTTGACTGTTCGCATTACTCGTGTTAGCTAGTGTAGTTGAACCACCGGAACCATTATTCTGACCATTCATAAGTGATATTTATTTAAGAGGAAAGGGAAGACAGGTAATAGTTGATTGAAATCTTGAGTAAAATGAACGGTACAAGTAGTTGTGATACAAAAGTGATAGCAGTAGTGTCATTTGAAAAAGATGACACAATTCAAGGTACTAATAACTTAACTCAAGGGGTAACTGCATGTACAAATCCATTCGATGAGTGGACTGCTCGTAAAACCGCATAACACTGGTAACGCATGCATAAAAAGCCGAATACGAAAAGTATTTTCATGCTAAAACTAGTGGGGGAAATCGCAAGCAATAATTTGGCACTCACTCAGAAGCACTCACTAGAGGACTAAACATTCTCAATCAGCTGGCTCTTAGAAAGCAAAATATCATGATGGTGATGATGAGACAAGATTTGGTGTCGATTAGTATTCTTTGTAGATTTATGATGCGATCGATTCAGTGCATAATTACATCTTAGGTCATTTACTATGACCTTCAGTGCATTCGTAACTGCAACTTCATTAACTTCATCATACCGAGAAGTAAAGGTCGGATAGAAAAACAGTCGATCATTTGTGCGAATTACTTCTGGTAAAAAAATATTCCCATAGTTCATAGATGATGAATAACCCCCAGTGGGGGGGGATAGGATGTAGGAGTTAAAAATTTTGCTTTTCTTTAGAAAAAAAGTTGTTTGCCAACACCAGTAGGAAAGGGGTGATGACGACCAAAATCAGCAGGTGGAGTCAATTTATTTGCCACTAGATTTATAAAAGTGTTGTGGTTAATGAATGAATTAACTATAACAGTAGACGGGCTGCCAGTAAACGCAGTTGACTTTGAAGTGAAACATTATCACGTGACATCGAGGGTAGTAACAACATTTGAAGGATACTTCAGAATAAACGATATACAACAGATAAAAACAGTAAATATATTAAGACAAGAAATAAAGCCATACACAATTACATGCTACTTTGGTAGTATCACCAACAACAAATATAGACTATTTACTCAAAAATAGAAGTCATAGTTAGTTAACATGTGTGCATGAGACAAGCAAATATATGTTATGTGAAACACACAACAGCAACAACCGACATAAACATGAAATAAGTTTGGGATGTAGATAGCTCAATCCCGTGTAGAGCTCTATTCACAGTGTATGTTATCATTACATTAGGATTTCCGATGGAATATGCCAAGTCAAGGCAGATTAGTTACTGAAAGCTTGGGGGTGAATAACTTGAGATTTCGCAAAACTTGGTTAGATAAATAAAATATCTAATACACTACAGAAGCAGGAAAAATTTTTTTTTGGAAATGTGATAACATAATCCTAAGTATATTAGGCTCAATGAAACTGCAGTGGATAAAACTACACGACTATTTATGGCCAGAAAAATCTTCACATGATACCAGTGATACACCAGGGATATTATGTTTTTATCACCTAAGTGCTAAAAAAACAAGTTATGCGAAAAACCTACAATGAGAACAACTCAGTTATGATCATACAACTTCATCTAGGGTAAATATACACCGTTTCTTAGGCCAAAACTAACCGAACAACTTGGTTCCAGAAAGTAAGTTGTTGAAAGCATATTGAACTTGTTTCTTCGTAAAACAAAACGTGAATGGAATGATGTTGAAAGATGTGTTTTGCTCCTCTCATAAAACAGAGAGATTTTACAAATAATCAGTAAAATTTTGACAGTGAACACATTACCTGTCATTAGACATACTTGAAGTTGAAAGTTTGAATTTCAGTTGATAGGTATTTCAGCAGTGGATCATATCACCCTGATTAGAAAATCACGCGAGTAACATCAGGTGATCAGGTTTTCTGTGCCCAATCAGTTTAGGAGCACTGTTGTTAAGTGCTATTTATTTTAGGTCAGTCGGCAGAAAGCTCTGAACACAGGTTTCATGCTTGCTGACACTTGCCAGTAGAACGTATCTACAACCTCAAGGTAACTGATGTTGCCTGTGAGATTTGAACTCATGTCACACCCTTGTTGCAATCAGAGAGGTTACTACCGAACCATCTGTGCAGCGATTGAACTTTGGTAAGACAGGATTAGATAAACTGATTGGTCACTGCTGATAAGATTGACTCCTGATGGAGGAAACAGTCATGGTTTTTTAGAAACCAACCTGATAAAGTTAGTATGAATTGTCGCTTGAAATGAGTGAAACTGAAAATAATTCAAAATACAGACTGATAGTCCTAATTGTTACCCCAACTATGATCAAAGTTCGTTAAGTAAATAGTACATGTTTGGGTTTTTGGGCCTGCATAACTTTCTTAGCAATTAACTAACGTTGTTTTCGTAATTTTCCCACCTCTTCTTTACATTAGCAAAGGACATTAATCCTCTATTTTTCTTCCTTTTTATTATGTGGTTGGAATGACGTTTTTGTGAAGTATTCACACTATGGAAGCAAACGGATATAGTATTCTTGTAAGTCTGATAAAGCTATAATAAGCCTCTAGTTATTACTTTCAATAACAGAATATCATGGATGTACATTCTAACTTCTCGGGGTGCGGTCTTATAAATAATGGAATGGAGATATGTCTTCTTATGGCGTTCCCAATAGAAGAAAACATATGCAGTCAATCCTAATGTTACCAAATAGTATTAGCAATTAACTGAAGGTAAGATTTTGCTTCACAGAGAGCCAATATCTCATTAAACTCAGTTCAGTAATTCAAATAGCACTCACTTCAAAGTTCTAAAAATTACAATTAATTAGTCTAATGAATATAGTTAGTGATAACTGAAACAATGGTTACTGGGTTTAAAACTAAACTCAGAGTAGAGATACAGATCTACCGATTTATGAGCCTAGATGGAAAAAACAAAATCTGAATTTCACTTCTAAACAATGTCAGAAAACTATCATTCTCTAATGCATAGAGAATAATGAATGAACAATGAGAAAATGGAGTTTTTCTTCATAAAAAACAGTAATTTATGGGGGAAAAACTTTCAAATATTTAAGAAAAAGAAGTGAAAAATTATCTAGTGGTGAAATCGTAACTTATGAAAATCAAAATGCACGCAATTACCTGATCACTGAATTTCACTTCGTTTGGAGCAGATGACCCAAACGGATTAACAGGACCTCGACCTGGAAAAAACCAAACGATAAGTCAAACTGTTACGAGACATCAAAAACTTCAAAAAGAGTATTAAGAAAGTGTCTTCATCTGCAAACATTTGATATTGGGAAGAATAAGTGTAAAGCGGAATGTAAACAATGACCAGAGGCATTACACACAGACAGAAGTGTTCATTCTCAAAAATTAGGTTATATTACACAGTTAACTTATACAAAAAAAACTTAAATTTTCGTGTACTTGTGAAATGTAGCAATCTACTGAACACTAAACACTTTTTCAGTCATATACAAACACTTCATGCAGTTAATCTAATCTAATCACTGAGCGAAGACATTTTAAATCATGACTATTGAAATTTATGACGTGTTTCATACCTCTGTACAAATTAACTAATAAAGGAGTTATCAGCATGCAGATCGTCGAAAATAGCGGTAAGTTAATTAACATAGGAGTAAAACTTGGGCACTGTGGTAGATTGTAATTCCATTTTAATCTACTCATTAGAAATGTTACACAGTGAAACAGTACCACTAACTAGATAATGTTCTGAATATAATTCATTATCCATATTCACATCATATAACTCCACAACTTTGAGACAGTTTATATAGTTCTAATCTCTCCTTCTTTGTTACAAGGTTAGTAGAATTTTTCATATATCTGGGACAGATGCAGAGTCATTTCTATTCCATATATTTAGTGTTGACTCGACAGACAAAGATTTGGTTATCAATCTCTCCATCCACCCATCTAAGTTTTTAATATTGTCTTTCTATCCCACACTATTATGTGACTGTGCAACTGCGTGCATAAGTAAGCTATTTTCGAAATTTCCTAACTTGTCAGGATCTACTAATCCTGATTTAGCTAAATTTTTGTGCTCTGTTATTCTATTTGACCCTCGTCAACTACTTTGACTCATGGTATTTACCCTCGCAATAATCGCGGGGAATTTGGCAAAATAAATTATTTTGTTTAATTGGATCGATTAGACACTTTAACCTACAAAGCCTGTTTCTAAGCGAGTTTATTGGTTTAAATGCCATTCTAATCCTAACCTTATTGAAAATTCTTCAAAACGCTTCTGAGGTGCCTACTTTGTATGATTTGGTAACGGCGATTTCAGTAACCATGAAACATATATGTTGTGTAAAAAATAATCACGAATTATTAAATATTGATGGTTTTGAACATGATAACGACAAAAAGCAAATAAAACGCAAAGTTAGAGTTTCCATGATAGTTATACTATTCGGCAAATGTTGGTTTAATAACTCTGAGATGTGATTAAGTAGCGAAATAAGGTCCACACACATTCGGACTTATTAGTTATCATGATTTTCTCATTTCAAGCCGAAAGTTAGTCATTTTATGCTGTCAAAGTGTACACATTAGCTACTTGGGTAATTTACTAAGTTTGAAAGTGGTTCAACAAAAATTAAATCAGCGCTTAATAATCATTCACTTGGGTGCAGGTATATTAAGATGATGAGTTTTAAATAGGATGAAATGCGTTTTCTGGATTCAACAGCTAGCCAACATCAAGTAAACTACAACATAATGAATCTTCAGGTGATAACAAGACATCTACATAGGAGCCCATATACCAACAGAGTACAATCAATTCAGTCAACGCGAAATCACAAATTTCAATAAATAACCCGCTTTTATTTAACTACATTCAAAGAAAACAGGGTAGAGGATGAAATACAGCAACTACTAAGGCAGAAAATATGTTCTCAATTTTTATCTCCTAAACACTTAAGTTATCAAAGGGGAATTCAATATCAGTTCTGCATTCTGACAACAAAATTAACGAATCAAACAATGACGTAACAAATATTTCCCTACAAAATACCAGTCATCCTCCCAAACCAAGACTGTCTAGTTAAAAATAATAATGAATAATGAACAGATAACTTGACACCATCGGGAGATTTTTCCCTTTTTATATAAAACATGAGATCGATTTAGTTACCATAGTATCGGGAAACCTACAACGATAAAAGGCTATGATAACTTCCAGGGACAACCAAAATGGTCCTTAAAGAGAATAGTAATAAAAATAACGATTCTAAACCTGCAAACAAGTCAGTCCTAATCTACAAAAGGAATCGAAAGGTAGTCTGTAAAGCATTACTTTATTCAACGGTTATTATTTAAAAAGTGACCAATATCTAACTCAAACCTTTTCCTAGCTTCCCTATTGTAGAGAGGTATGAAAAGAACTTCGACTGGAATTTGTATGCGCGGTTATGTGATACGTTAAGTGGGGAACGTCAACCTCAAATTCCACTGGAATGATAGGGTAAAACTTTGTTTGTAGCAAGAAACTTCACTGCATAAAATAACTAAAGAGTCGTAAGGATATATATATATATATATATATATATATATATATATATATGATTTGCTTTTACGAAGAGTAAATAGAGAGTTATCGCACACTATCAGTAGTAAAGAGTATTTCTTGGAAAACAGTTTTTAATAAATAAGGGAAGGAAAACTAATTAAAAACAAAACAGTCCAATCCATAGTTGTAGATTTCTCTAAATTAAAAAAAACTGAAAGAAGCAACTTTACTGGAAATACATCCAAAAATACTGAAATTATTTATTTTTGCTCTAGGATAAAATTTTTACATTCAACATAGAAATGGCGCCAATTTAATAATAAAAGTTTATGGTATGTATGTATTTTAGATCTCCGAAAGCATGCCAATAACAATATATAATAATATTCTAATTAACTTTATCTATAAAATGTTCCAAGGTAAAGGATAGACAAAGATAAAAAAAGATACAATCTCATGTTTCTGTTTACTGAACGGAGTTTGTTAATATTTCAGTAGCCTCAGAAATGCAAAGTCAAATCAAACTCCGATGCATTAATCATGAATAATTAATGAAGAAAAAGGAATGAGGTCTTTCCAGAAAACTTTAGGCTTAAGAAAGCTGGATTGAGAAGGAAAATGAAAGGCGTTGATACACATTAAGTGAATTTTGGTGGCCAATACTCTCACTAATTGAGTTATCTTCAAGGCTTATTTGGTTACAGTTAGTTACCTCCATAAAATGTAGTTATAGTTGCTGAAGTCAGAAAATTATAAGCTATATTGGACACTGGGAAGATAACTCGGTGGTTGTATGATCTCTTTTTCAAGAAACAGAGGTAACAGCATTTCTGGTGTCAGAACACTACAGTAAGCAATAACATCATTTTTCTATAGAACAAGAAAAATGTATGACTTTAAGTGCGTAAGCCCTCGACACTGAAGGGATTTGAGCTATTATAAAGCTTTAGAATTAGAAATTGGCTAGTTCATTTTTAAAAACCATCTACCATCAACTTCTACGGTCAAAATATGACAGCTTAATACAAGTTCTAACAGATCGCCTTAAACTATCTTCATCTACTATTCATGAACAAGTTGGGCATTTCTGTTCACCAACCTTCATTTGTGATTTAATTGTCTTAATAACAATGACATTATTTTCTACACCGAAACCGAATAATTATGGATACTGAATGAATATACAAACACATGTACTTGGTTCCGCAATGAAAGACTTGACTGAAAAAGGCCAAATTATGAGAATACCACTTTCCCGCTTTCTAAAACAATATATTCTCAGGCAAGTGTGAATTCAGTGATAATAATAATCGCTTTATTCTAAACAATATGCATGATATAGTATAGAATTCTCAGCACATAATTTTTCAACAAATTTACTCCCAGAACAACAGTTATAGAAGAAATGGTTATTGCATTTGAATGACGTTAGTAATAACAGTATTCAAGGTAACAATGTGAAACAGCCAACTGATTTAGGATTAGCGTCCGAACCACAATGAACAATCAACAGAAAGGCGAGCGTAAGTTTGATGGTGGTTCATTCCGCAAGTACAAGAAATCGCAACTTGGGCTAAGTATCCGAAGGATAGAAATGTGACGTATTTTTGGACACTGAAAACTCCCTTTCCATATAACGTAACATTTTGCCTCTGTTTTATTACTAAGTCGAGAAACAGCGAGTTAAAACATTTAAAAAAAGATCAAGAGTACTTGATACGTTTAGGGGACATATTTAAATGATTAAAACAAATTGGAAGGAAAAATATTTGATGTATATGTTCAGGTGGAAAATTTTTGTGGTCTAAAGTTAAAGCAAACCACCATGTTCTCATGTAATAGAGTTGTAACAAAGTAGTACATTGAGTATTCTGATGAATATTTCATAAAATGAAAACATTTACCGTAGTAACTCGTGGTTATGCGAGACCAAATGGTTATGGAGGAAGCTTGATATGGAACAGTGACTTAATATAATTCTACACCAACAGTTTTCCCTCAATAATTTGCTCTAGTTTCCTCATTTCGTTAACCCAGATACCTGAATGTGAACGTCTGTTATTTCCTTAAACTGTCTTGAAGATAAATAGTCACTGGATGGTGACTTATGCAAATGTCAGATTCTAAGTACAAAATTATTACTTTTGTTAGTCCATTGTACTTTCTTATTCCCATAACACCGAATGTATTTACACATTCATTACTTCACCAAAACACCTAGGTCATATAACAGACACTTTGAAAATCTGTAACTTCATAAATTGGCTCTTTATCGAATTTTACACTAACCAATTAGGTGGCTAGAAAATTTGGTGACGTGTATGTTATCAGTACTTGATTTGCCAAACATAGTTAGGATAAAATTCAAAACGCTGGTAAGTTAGACACTATTTTAAATGAAAAAAAGGCATTATCAAGCAGTTACTAACTAAGTGGTTTGGTTCCAATCAGCATCATATGTTAAATAGACTTAGAGCAAACACAAATTTATCATAATCTCATCACTTTTCCATGTCGAAATAAAGAAGATAACCAAAGTTCAACCGGAAATGGAAATTTAATCACGTCACAAACGATACTAAAAAATTAATTACTTAGCTGCATAAAAATTATTTAAATTTTCAATAAATTTCGTAAATAACAGGACTCACTTAACATGTCAGAAGATGAAACGGATAGCAAACAAAGCCTATGAACGTAGTCAATAACAGCCAAACCAAATTCACTGCCAATAGCCATTCTGGAAAGTAAAACAAACAGTGAGAATGATTCAGTAAGATAGCAATTTTGTGAGTGGAATAATGCGAAGTGAACTAAAAAATAATACCATAACTCCCTTCCATTAAAGAAGCTAATTAAGTTATAAACAGTTGTAATAAAAGGTTTACAGTATACAAAAGCCATTGGATTAAAGCTAACAGCGTTATTCAGTGGAAATAGTCACCCAGTTTTACAGCAGGTACACTTCATCCACACTAAGCGCATTCAGATCATAAGAACAAAAACTGGGTAACGTCGATTACCGCAAAATTAGTTATTTTATACGAACAAAGTAGAGAGTTCCAGTGACACCAAGGAACTTCGAATATTATCACTGTTAATTACTTTATGCATCAATAGGAGAGTAACTCAGGAATAGATGAGTAGAAAATGAAAGAAAAGCATTTTTCTTTAATTCGCTTATTCGCAGCTAGTATTGAATGAGTTTAAAAAGAGATGAAAGGCACATCCTGTACTATTAGCCACTGCCAAACAAATGAAAGCAATTTGTAATCGTTATCAATACTGAGACATACGTTTAACGAGCCAATAGTATCAGAGTGGATGAACGATTTGGTCCAACAGTTGGAATGAAGAGAAATACTTAAAAAGGCTAACTGATCTATGCTCATTAAACAAAAGCCAAATAGGAAAACTATGATGAAAACCAAAAAATGTGAAGTATTTTCCAGAAAGAAATCAAACATGCATTTTCAGCAACCTTCAATACAATAAATAGTTGCCGTAAGAAGATTGTACTAAAATGGTGAAGGGAATATATTAAAAGCTTAAGCAACCAACTGTTGATAAGAAACTAAATTTTCATTTGTCTGGCATTAAAGGTAGATAAGATATCCGAAAGAATAGACAAAGGGGTAAAATGCACTGAAAGGAAACTTCTCTTCTACAAGGTTGATACCAGTTCACAACAATATATGGTTACTGGGTCAATCTCCCATCACCTCCAAATATATGTAACAATTCACATGTACTTTCATGAGGAAGTGAAAAAGAAAGATTGAGGGAAGAGCATAAACTCGATATACATGTCCCAAGTAAGGTGTGTTTGAATGAAAGAAAACGTTTCACAAGTGCAATAGTTAAACACTTGATAGAAACCGGATACCAAATAAATATCTTTCAAATGTACAGGATGATCAATAAAACATATCAACCAGGCTGAAGGCCTGGCAATCAAACATTTGAAACCTGAAATTTGTATCCAAAAAGATACCATAATAATTCTTTTTATATCCTCGTAATTCGAAGTTATTTCAGTTACATCATATCTTCCATTCTATCTACTGAAGTTTCATTATAGACATTCTGATATTTCCTGATCAATCGTGAGCTAGGCTTATTCATCGATTGTTCAACAATTTTCTTCCTTTGAATCTTTGTTTGTTTGACCTTATCATTTTTTGTGACAAATCTAGAATTTTGTACACAAATTGCCTCTTATGAATTTGAAAAAAAGAACAATAATGGGAGCAGGATAAAATGGATGCATTTTATTTGGGTAGTAGCTTGTTCACAGCTTAAAACCAAGAATATCAAAGTATATAGTTTTGCCGAAAATTTAACATATTTTAATTCATTGAAAGAGAATAAAATATCGGTCAGTGGTTAAGACGAAGAGAAATAGTGATAGATTAAAGGCTAAATGTAACGGTAATCCAATGTAAGTTCCTCGAATCAAATAACGACAAGAGTAGTAATCAAAACATTGAGAGGCTTAACACTATGGGATTACGCAAATCAGTCGGACATACAATGAAAAAAGCAAAATACTGACACCAGATTTTGTAATGAAACGTATAATTGCCCGATGCCATAAAGGGCCGGATCGTTCGACCTCAGTCGGCAAATGGGCTCCTATGCGGATGACTCGGTATTGTCGGATATTCATGACGTCATATTGACTTTAGTGACTGGCAAAATAGTCCAGGACGCGTGTCCCCCCCCCCTTATTTAGGACTCTTCAGGTGGGTGTGCTTGCATCCCCGTGAGTGATTTTGTTCCCACTGAAGCTCGAGCCTAGTACTCTTCACTTAAACGCCACAGCGTTATCCACTAGGCTACTAGGGTACAATAGCCATCTCTTGTGCAACGGCTATCAGCTGTTGTAATGGTAGTTGCAATTTCTCGTTAAGTTAAGCTCAATTAGTTAAAACATTCGATATGAACAAAAGATGATGCGATTAAATCAAAGTGAGGGGATAAACATCTAGAGTTAATAAGGGATGATGTAATCAAATAGCAATCAAGAAGGTTACCTAGGTAGACAGAGGTTAACTGTGGCTTTTTATGGACAGACAAATCAGGTTTGAGGCGTTTAATGGCTCGTTTAGTTGAAGGAATTGAAGGTGTCTGCTTGATGTCCAATGTCAATTAGATGCTGAGTAACTGCACTGTTCGAATTGTCACTTTCGCTCAGTCGTAGGCTCTTTGCAACGTGTTCTGAAAATCTAAGGTACATCCCTCCTATCACGAGTGTTGGGTGTTGATTTGATGAACAAAGACTCAGTGATCAGTCTCTCTCCACCTAATTATATTGAACTTGACCAAGTACAGTGGTTTTATCCCACCTTATTGCGCGGTTGTGTGTTAATCCATGTGCTGCAATAGCCGAGTTTTTTTCTGAATTATTGATCTTATTGGGGTCTGTCATTTCATGCTTAGCTAAACTCCTATGTTCCCAGTTTGACCTATGTACTTGACCTGACAGTCATTGCTTGGAATTCGACAAATTAGATTATTTTGCCTTATTGGATCTATCACACCCTTAAGCCGGCAAACTTATCTCTGAGTGAGTTTGTAGGTTTAAATGCACCCCTTATTCCAGCCATGTTCAGAATCCTACGTAGAGTTTCTGATGTTCTTTTCTTATTTGGTAACACAATAGAAGCTTTGAACTCCTTTCTATTTATGTTGTCGCTTGTAATATGAATGATATGATATCTGTACCAGGGACATGAGAAATTTTACTACCACTAGAAACAAAAAAATATGTGATGATAAGACTATAAAAACCAGATGTCGAAAGTAGTCTGATTACATTGATATAATTATCAGCAGTGTTTCATTCTCGAAACGTCATCAAGTAAGTGATACGGCATCACTGTGTGCTGTTTATCAAATTGATAAATCTAAAATGGAATTACATCCTGCTACAGTGCCTAAGTTTTACACTGATACTATCTATTTTAAGTACGAAAGATGAATATTTGAATAGTTTGGCTGTCTATGGTTTACACGGCATTCTCTTAAGTGTCGCTGATGTGAATTTTCAAAATCATGTATAGATAACCTGCATCGATGAAATTCAGCGTTTGTTTCACAGTGATTCACAAAATAAGAAATCAAAAGAGAAAAGAAGAAAATGTCACTGAAAATTGTTTCGAAGAAAAAATGTTTGCTTGAGAACGCAATATGTCGAATATCTTTTTCTACAACTAATCTATTTGTTCCTAAATACAAATTATGCCTGGTGATAAGATGCTATGATACACTAATTTACAGCTTATTGATATTTTGAAGTTGACTAGTTTTAATATACTTGAGGCACGTTAGATGAAAAAAGCATGAAAGCATGATTTAGTTTGTTAAGATTTCATTTTCCAAGTTCTGAGTGATTTATATGGTTTAGCTGACAAATTGAATTGTGTTTCAGACAGTGAAACTGTTGATCATAGCATAATATCTATCTAGTTCTCTTTGGAAATTTTGACAAGAATGTCACGTTTGCATTGACACACTTATTTTCAGTACAAATACTTAAATATTTGATTTCAACTGCTGGCTATTATAACAGCCTCAAGTTACAGTGTTTTTTTCGATATCTAACTACTCATGAAGAAGTTCATCAAAAACATTGTTGACCAAAATATTCTTTGTTCATTTATCTGCTTCAAAATTTGTAAACAACCGAAGTAATTCAATGAAACACTATCAGAATAGTGACAGAGAAGCAAGGCAGAAGTTGAAAGATAATAAACGTGTGAACAAAATAAAGGTTATTATTTTGACTATCTGAGACAGCCATGGTTTGGTAGACTTGTATTGATACTGAGTGATGATCGAAGGTCAAATGAAAATTTAGGCCACAGTAGGATTCGATTCAGATACCACTGAGTTCTTTGCTTGGTGCTGTATCAACTGAGCTACAAGACCGAACTGATGACCAGATTTCTACTTCAGTTTGCCGAAGCATTTTGCCCAACCACTATGTGAATTCGTGATGCGTTATTGTCGCTTGATTTTACTCATACTGACTACCCAATCAAGACTTCTCATCCCAATCCAAATAAGAGTTGTAGATTTCAAGCAGTATTTTGAATCGATGAACGAGATAGAAAAAAAAACTTTAATTTCAAGATTGTGCTTTGCAACCAGTGTTGCCATACAACTAGAAATCACAGTAACAGATTTGGGAGAATATGTACACAGCGTCTTACTATTAACAATAGAATCTAACTGGAAGATTGAATTCATCTCAAAAACAAATGCCGTAGTGAAAAACAATAGTTTTTCAGATGAAACTGTTTGCCTATACAAATAGTCTACGCTTTCTTAGGACAGAAACACATCAAATAAGAAAAGGAGACTTACAAACCAAAAGCTGAATTCATACTGATAGCTGTGATGGACGGAGGTGGAATGAGACCTGAAGCAGCAGGATCAATACCAGCTTTAGGATTCGATTCAAAATTTAATCCAGGTACTCCTACACGACACACAAGTAGTGGTTGATAACCTGGTGTCCAATGAAGGTTACCCTGACGTATTGGAACAAATACTCGTAAATCCTTTAAAGAAAGAGAAAGAAAAGTGAATATCATTTCAGTATTGTCAGTAATTGTTTAAAGAGCAAAATTTAAATAAACTGCTAGTCCATAATAAAGATATGAATTGAGCAAGATAACAATTAGTACACTACTGTCTACAAAAGACTTCATAAACCTAATGAACCTATCACTGAGAACACCAAACAATTATCACAGTCTACATATTTTGTGATTGAATAAATATCGGGATATTAATTCTTAACTGTTAGCCTTCAAACCAGGAGAACAATGAAGGTGATCCACAACAATGATCCAGTGGAGTTCTACTTCTAAACAGAGGACATCAACTTTTGCTGAAAATTTTTAGATAAATTACAGGTAGGAAATGTGAAAGATACTGCCTTTCCTATTACACTAGAAATCTTTAGTAGGATGTAATTAGTATCTTTAGGATGGTTCAGTGTTACATAGTATTCAGTATCACTGGTGTTAATGCCTATTCATTCTTCAAGTCAATGAGCTTCCAAAGCAACACTCACAATAACTATAATTTATGCTAATAGAATAATCAAATAATTAACTCAATGATAATGACATTCTTATGGAATTCCGAGTGGCATAAGGATACACATGGATCAGTTAAAACATAACAAACCACATGTATCTTGAACTAATGACTCAATTAATGAAAGATTCCCTACAACTTCTGTAGTAACACCATTATCACCAACAACAACATTAAGCATAAAATATACTCTGAATGCATGTCATTACCAGAGAATCTGAGAATAGTAATTGCTAAATGAAGAATGACTTGTTTGCTTTTGTTAGTCTATTTATACAAACACAGATTTTGTTTATTTTCCAGGTTTAGAAACCAGAAAATAAATTTTTGTTTGTTTGTAAAAAACACAAGATAACAACAAAGATTTTTGGAAGTAAAATACGGCATACATTCAAAGGTGATGACAAGTTACCGAAAATGCTTTGCTGTCTCTGTGACCGCATTATTCTTCTTATCAAGATAAAAATTGGTAGAAAAATGACATAACAACTACAACACCGAAATCATAAAGATAAAAAATTATCAAAAACCTAGTGTTTTTGGATTACTTGTACCAAAATATAACTGACATGATATACTAATTTGGGATATAGATTTTACAAACCAATAAAGTTAGAGAAGATTTGAAGCCCCAGAAAATATTTCAACATAATACAGTCGATACATTCCTTTTAAAACAGATAAGTGTGTCGGCAGCATTCATCAGAGATCAGTAGTCATCAAACTACCAATAAAAAACAAAAATCTTATGATAAGCATGTTTTAATTATAGTCACATCATTTTTTGAGTACAGTGCTCCTATACTAACAATCATAGCTTAATTAATATTTCCATTAACAATAATAATGGCAGTAATAATAATAGTACATCGGAACTTAAAGTTACTACTAGTGTTAAGTAATGCATAATAATTGTGTAAACACTAGTAAACATGACAAGAATTATTGGACGATTCCAACAAGTATAAAACCTCTTATCATCAGTCTTCGACGAAAAGTATCCTCAAAACAACCAATTAATAACGATGTATAGTATGCACTCATAGAATAGGGAGCGAGATATAGTGGTGGACAGATTTCAAATTAAAGCAGTGATTCACAACAGAGCAAGGGATGATGGTTTGCTATATTTGCCTGGCAGACATGTTGTAGTCAGCTAAATTGCATTATGTACTTCCATTTTCTACCATAAGGAAAGCTCAAATTCGTCTTACTTATGTGATCATTATAAATCTGTTATGGTGATCAACCGCCTACTGACTTCACTCTCCTCATAACTAACGATTCAAGGATCCGGAATCCGATGATCACCTCTTCTTGTCAGATGTCAATGCAGTGAGTGAGTGTGAGATGCGAATTTATAATGAAATAATTTGTCGCCATGTGAAAAATATTTAACGTCCGTCGTCTCCAGACGAAGCTAGTTAAAGCGATCATAACAGCTATCGGGCAAAAGAGCTGAAAAAACATGTTGCAGACAAATTATTTGTGGTGTGAACAAATCAACGCAAATTTTACATTTAAGAAGGCAGTGAATCATGAGACAAAAATTGATTTGTGTCCTAATATTTGTAGTCCTGGAAAGCTCTAAGTTGGCTATTGTTAGTGTGACGAATGAAGATGATGTAAGGCTTTTGCTTGCCTAGACGTGCATTGCATTTGCACTGCAGCGGTATGTTGGAAAACAAAGCAAACCATTACATATGTGTACAACGGGGAGAGAGTACAGAAGAGTTCTTGTCGCGTCTTCAAGAATTGGTCCCTTTAGACTTTGCTGTTGATACACACCTGGTGATTGAGATTCTGACAGTGAGACAATTTGAGGAGGGACAGCTTAATATTGCCACTAAAGAGAGACTAATTGAAAATACTCAAATCACTGTCTGAAGCCTTGTAAATTGCCAATGGCAAAGTGTTGTAACTGAGAAAACGCTGACAAAAAAAGGACAAAATAAATGTGCACTATTTCTGGCCAGTGCATCCTAACTCCTTATCAGTCTTCGCACCAAAATTTTTGGTTTAAAGAAATTGAAGACCAAGTCCACCATAGCAGAACAGTTCCAGCTATCGATTACAGTTGAACTGTGCAGAATAGTCGGTATGGCAAAGAAATATTTTCTTTGTCAATCACAAAGTGAGTCGTCGGTTGTTATTCTCAACCTTACACAAACTAACCTAGTAACTAATAATCTACCCCATATAAGAGTGAGAGTCCAAAGTATAATCTTAGCTGTCTTAGAGGATAAAGTGGCAGAATGTCCATCAACTTCAAAAGGACATTCCAAATGTGTCCCAGTAAATCAAAGTCAGAATGACTGCTACCAGCTGTCAATGCGGACACGATGTGGCTGGTCAGTTAGGTATAGGTTTTGTGGGAAAATGAAGAAAGCTGTTTATGGCATCCGCGACTAGTGATAGTTATTCTTCGTGGGTTTCAGTAGTTGGTTGTGAATTGTACATCGGCAACGAATGCTTGGACCAGCCCTGTCTAGCGATGATGGACTTTACATATTTTTCACATGGCGACAATTATTTCATTATAAATTCGCATCTCACACTCACTCACTGCATTGACATCTGACAAGAAGAGGTGATCATCGGATTCCGGATCCTTGAATCGTTAGTTATGAGGAGAGTGAAGTCAGTAGGCGGTTGATCACCATAACAGATTTATAATGATCACATAAGTAAGACGAATTTGAGCTTTCCTTATGGTAGAAAATGGAAGTACATAATGCAATTTAGCTGACTACAACATTATAGATCAGCACTAAATACCCGATATATTTGTCAAATATTGAAAATCAAAAAATTGAAATGCTCCAAGCAACCTTGCGGTCATTCGTGCAGTAGGTAATGATCCTACCTGGCTGCTAAATCCTCGGTAGGCGGAGCGTTTTTCTAAACCGTGACCCACTGGATGAAAGTCATCCCCTAAATCAATCATCCACAACTCCACTATGTTAAAAATAGCATAGGATCAACGCTTGTCCCACTACTTTCTAATCCGTCACCTGCTACATACTTTGTCTATATTACAAGAACTGATTCCAAGAAAATATACAATTCAATCAATTATAAGGTGTGCATTCATCTTAGGACATATTCAAACTGTAAATGGAGGCGAGATATCTAAGAAAAAGGGTGAATAAGTGTACGATAAAATAGTTAGTAGTAAAATCTTTTTCATTAAGAACAAATGCATACACCAAATAGAATGTATAAAACTATGAATTCGTTCGTTTCACTAATCGGGAAGGAAGAATGACAATTGAAGCATATTATCTGCACTGAAATCAGGTCAGAAGTTAACTAATCAATTATGCAGATTAATCCTATCGCCTGAAGACAGTTACAAATTAAGTAGACGAACCAGGATAAAAAAGTATGCAGACTAGTGCAGTAACCAACTATAAAAGAATAAAATAAAACCAGAGAAAAGAAAGCTTTTTACCTCATTAATTTCACTTTATCCAAAAGTAGAAAATTACCAAGAGTTGATTATCGACTACTGGAAAGCCACATAAAGTAGTATGAACGTCAAAAGGAAATAAATTTTAGATAGTTATTAATTTGTTTCATAAAAGGTATGGAACTTTCCCGCTTAGACTGGGTTATCAGTAGGAACGAAAGCAGAATGACACTTGTCATATCATGAAATGGAAAAACCCTTCACCTGCATGGTATAAAAGTGTTAGATAAGGAAGTACTAGAGATTATGAGCGAGAAGATGGGCAGCTCCTTTCGTGTAGGAAATGTGGTTTTAAATACGGACCATGCAGTGATATACAGAAATGAAAGAAACCTGTTATAAGTATAAAAATGGGCTCACATAAGCTCATTTCACATACATGTAGGCATGTTTGTATGTTTGAGGAATATTCGTCTATGCATAGGAGAAAGGATGAGTAAATGCAAACGAAGCGACTTTACATATTTCTCCAAGAAATGATATGATTTTAGAGAGTTTCCAAATACATGATTACGCGACATAAACCCATAGGAATATGCTTGAAAATTAAGATCAACAAAGCAGAATACTGTGTGAATACATCAGGACTAGAGTTTGGTTAGTGGATAGATTTTAAGTATCGTACGAAACACTTTATTCAGTAAGCAGTCAGTTCTTCCTACATGGCTCTATTAAGTTTTGAGCCAAGTAAGTGATATACATCCATGTTGTAGATATACACGGCTATATATGGGAAGACTCTTCAACAATAACCTTAGTCTTCACCCTTTAGGGTACTTCAGTCCCCCGAAAAAGGAACGAAGCGGCACAAATGGTAAGAGGTTTATTGCGAAGTCGAACATTTACAAAAAGTAACGGTTCAATATACATTTAACATGATCTTGGTATGTCCTACACTTTTCTGAAATGTCCTTTATTCAATATGAGACTCACGCGTGTGATCACGTGGATTTCGCGAATGTTCGCCACGTCATGATTGGCTTTGAAGGCTTTTCAGGGAATTCTAGGCTTCTTTGGGGAATCTAGCCAATATTGTCTCAATTCATAACAGTTAGATAACTTAATCCATTAGTTCCGATGAAAAATATGAATAGTATTTCTGAAACAAATCATTATCAAAAATGAACATAACCTTAACTGAAATACTAAGCACAAGTACTTTCAATATGATACAGATTTGAAGATCATAGGTAGTATGTTGATATCTAAACTATGTAACTGGTCAATCTGGATTTTCCATCGGCTAACACTTCATCTTCGATCCATTTATCTAGACAACTTTATTGACTTGTAAAGAATTTCACACAGGTCGGTAAACAGAGTGACAGAAAAAAGGGTAAAGGAGGCTAAAGTTTATGAAAAACGACGAATATGTTATGACAAGCCTCAGTGATAGATGCAAATAAAATAACGCTTGTGAACCACTGAGTAACAATTAAAAAAATAGTTGCTCTGAAAATTCATTTTGACATTAAATTCAGAAATTGAAATGAACTAATATACACTGTGAAAATTTCCAGAGAAAAAATGAAACTTTAATGAGTGGAGATAAGGATATTGCATTTTATCTGAGTTAAAATTCAATGGTTTTCTTACACGATAAATTTAATTATTTTGAAAAATACTAATCAGTCGATTCCGAGCCAGAACGAAAGGAAGATAGTATAAATACTTAGTGCTTTTAGGTTAGCGTACAGAATGAATTGAACCTCACTCATCTAACCAACTGGCGAGGAACACCGGAAACAAAAGCTAGGGGATGCTTCCTCATCGCAAAAAAGTTTATCACAATTTCCACCAAAATTAGTGTACGACAAAAACTCTCTTCAAGCAAAATTAGTTCACATAAAAGCATGTCTATTTATTTCTGCATTTTAAGGGTCTCATTTACATTTCTTCTACAAAAAATTACATCTGTAGCATGCTGAGATGTTAATAGGAATACCAATTTGATGCCTGAGCACTATGCAGAATCAGACTGAATGATATTATTTTGCGTTACCGAACAAATAAAATAACCATGTTCAAGACAATTTCGACTTTTCTGTGTAGAATTCACGTACAATCAATACATTTTCACTAGAATTTTATACATTAAAGTCATTGTATGTGACAATATTTTAGGGAAAGCCTAGCATGAAAAAAAGAAGACATAAGTGGACATACCCTTTCGGTTGGAGATAGTGACTGGTAAGAACTGACACTTCCACTGGATACATGAGGCAATGACTGCTGAGCGCTGTCCTTAGATGTGCTGGCAATGTAATTGTCAGCAGGATAATTTAGATGATCATCAGAAAAGGCATCGCCACCACCTGTTGAATAGCCGAATCCAATATCCTCTAAGCCATCGTAAGCCATATTGATATCCATAACCTGACAAAAATCATGCAAAAGTAAGCGGAAGATAAAGTCATTATGTTTGTTACTAACATTAAAAAGGGAGTACAAAAAACTAATTAGTGTTTTCATAAAGCAATGGCTATTAGGTTTTGGCTACATTCACCTGGCAGAAAACCGATTAAGTTTTAATTACCGGAGTAATATAACTTCCAAACAAAATAAGGGATGAAGTAACAAAGAAGATAAATATTTAAAGAAACACATGGGACGAAAGTAAAGGGTACAACACATTAAGAAATTCTATATATACCTTTCCCAATACCGCAGTCTACAGAATAAATGAGATTGATAATGTATTCATGACAGCACAGAAACAATACAAGTGCATTATTTAAATACAATGACTCTAACCGTAAAATAATTCTTCAGTTGAAAAAGACGTAAGGTATACTGGTAAACAGAACAGTCATTCAGAATCTTGAACTTTCTTCTTATAAGTTCTACTAAACGTTTCCGTAAAAACAGATTGAAAGCCTTGCCTCAATTTTATCCAAGGAAAAAAAGTGATACATTCTGAAGAACGAACCACTGGGGTGAAAAAGTTATGAGAGTGATTAAGCTAACTTCCGGTTAATTTGTTTATTCGATATCGAGCATACTGAAGTGGTAGTATTTACTGCATTACTGTTTTGAACATAGCTCGTTGGCCATGTCCTTACCATAAAATGAAAAGAAGTATGAAATCATACCCATGATAATCTCGAGGCTTTTTAGTAGCTTTACGAGTATTTAGCAGACCGGATTTTCTACATCTACAGAAAGAGATCAGATGATAAGAAAATGAAAAAAGCGAAACCATCTGCTAATCGATCCTCAATCAGTGAACACCTGATATATATATTCACCATCCCCTAATCTAACTTCCTTTTTACCATACAAAAGTATCTCAGTAAAAACAATGATCATTTTCTGCTCACATTTCATCATATGATAATTATAATCATTATGGCAATATAGATAATATTTCTATTGTTATCAGCATTTAATGTTGGCATTATTAATCCTATTATCACCACACTTAGGGGAGAGAGAAAGACAGAGCGAGAATAGAAGGAGAATATAGAACTACTACCGTACATGTATGTAATAACATGCGTTGTCTCGCTAAAGGAAAGAAATAAAACTGTAAAAACTAAAATTTCTGACTATCTGATCATATAAAAGGACTGATAAGATATTGTTCCCATATGAATTCACATACAAAACACTAAAATTCCGTAGCATATCACTTACTCGCGTCTTTTGATGTGTACTTGGATAAAATGTGACACAAGTTTAAAACAATCCACATGATAGTAGTTACTAAAGGATGAAGAAATCGACGTTTTTTAACAACAATAGCAAACTAAGTTTTCTCTGATTTCGCTTTTGTTTAAAAACTAACCCAGAAGTCATCAAGAAAACAGTCAAAGCTTCAAGAATAACCACGTAAGAGCATATATCCTCAATTGAGATTGATTGTTTCGTTTGATCTCAATATAAAAATGAATTCATCAATTAGTTGTGTACTTCAAAGTAGCACTTGATTCTGGTCAGACTAAAATAGTGTATACGAAAAAGAAATACAGCTACTGATTGACATTGATTCTTCGTGAAAAGTTTGTCATATCGACGTTTCAATGGGATAATGAGGAATTTAAAAACGAAGAGATATAAATGTTTCGAAAGCGGAAAACATGAAAAAGTCTGTGCAACTACAAGCAATCGAATATCACTGAAAGTAATTATTTTTCAAGTGGTCTCAGATGCCTCATCGTATAGAAGAATCCCCAACACATACCTGGGTAAAATTCATTATCTAACATTTAAAGATATTCTCAGCATATATCGAAATAGTTTTGTGTTAGGAAAAACATGAAAGTAACAAACCACGAGATCTGATATAACTTCTACTGCATAGAATTCTTTTTACTCCCTCTTCTTTGGTTGCTTTCATGATCACTGAAAAAATCAACTTCACAACATACAAGGCATAATACAACTTAGTTACAAACAGTAATTTGAAGCTCGGTTTACATAAGTCGAAGGATATTAGTGGTTTCACTTTTCCAAATTCATACGCACCATCGATGAACACTTGGGTCTAACAAGTACAACAGACAAATCTTTGTGT